GTCCCCCCGTGTGGTTCTGGGATTTTTGCTCACCGTTCTTGTGATCATTTTGACCCCACGGGGTGAGATCTTGCGTGGAGCCCCGGATCGAGGGAGATTATCAGTGGTCTTGTATGTCTTCCATTTTCTAATAATTGCTCCCACAGTTGATTTCTTCACACCAAGCTGCTTACCTATTGCAGATTCAGTCTTGACAGCTCTTTGGTCTTGGCCATAGTGGAGTTTGGAGTGTGACTGTTTGAGGTTGTGGACAGGTGTCTTTTATACTGATAACGAGTTCAAACAGGTGCCATTAATACAGTTAACAAGTGGAGGACAGAGGAGGCTCTTAAAGAAGAAGTTACAGGTCTGTGAGAGCCAGAAATCTTGTTTGTTTGTAGGTGACCAAATACTTATTTTACCGAGGAATTTACCAATTAATTCATTAAAAATCCTACAATGTGATTTCCTGGATTCTTTCCCCCCATTCTGTCTCTCATAGTTGAAGTGTACCTGGGATGAAAATTACAGGCCTCTCTCATCTTTTTAAGTGGGAGAACTTGCACAATTGGTGGCTGACTAAATACTTTTTTGCCCCACTGTAGAAACCACTGCTTTCTTAAATTGTTTAACTGTGAGGTGTTATACAATTGTACTGTACTCTGGAGAGTTTTTTAAGGTAAAAAAAGAAACAGCATGATGAGATGTGCAGTACTAGCAGAGAGAACCAAATATGTAAAGCTCTTTTTTGTTAATTTATGATTTGCTGCATATGAGGAATAAAACAAAAATCCTCTGTCGTACCATATTGAAGTATCATTATTTTTGCATAATGTTGAATCAAATCGTATCGCATCGCCTGGTGTTTCAGATTGATCGTTAATGTATCGTATCGTGGCAACGTATCGAGATGCGCATCGCATCGGCCTCAGTGATGGAGATGCACATCCCTAATATCCACATTTTCTTTAAAGGAGGTTTTATGTTACCTAAGTAGAGTTTATTCTTGTAAACATTTTTTTTTTTTTTTACACAAATGAAGACCCATTTATTTGAACAGTATCTGTGTTGTTTCCCAGGCTGCAGAACATCTTCAGTCCTTCATCGCTGACTGCGACCGCAGGACTGAGCTGGCTAAGAAGAGACTAGTGGAGACGCAGGATGAGATCAGCGCTGAAGTGGCTGCAAAGGTGACAAACCCACTGATGACATTGATCATGAGATCTTTATCAGGTCTTTGTGAATGCAGTGCTCTTTGCAATGAGTATCTTTTAAAATTATTTCTCACAACAGCAATTCATTTATTTCTCTGTTTCTCCTGCTGCTATAAAAAAAGGCTGAACGCGTCCACGAGCTGAACGAAGAGATCGGGAAGCTGCTGGCCCGGGCGGAGCAGCTCGGGGGCGAAGGGAACGTAGACGAAGCCCAGGAGGTGCTGGAAATGGTGGAGAAGACGCGCGGTTTAAAGAAAGAAGCAGAGGTCAGAGAGATAATAACTGCTTTATTGTGACTAGTTTATTGCTGTAATTGATTATTAAAGAAGCAATAGCAATTATGCAAAAGGAGAAAAAAAGATGTCTCTTTAAAAAGTAAAGGTTTTTAGAAAAATCTTCATTTAATACCCAGTGCATTTAAGTGCTATATAACATTCTGGTATTAAAAGAAAACTAATCAATGAAAACAATAATGAATCACTCCTAAAATATGTACTATAACTTAAACAGATCAAACTCCGGCAATGTGTTTACATTTAAAATTGACATAAATGAATCAATAATAAGAGAACTTTCTCTGTGTGCTCTCGCTGCACATCGTTGATCTTTCTCTCCATCCTGATTGAAGCTGCATGACTCATCCAAACCCATCAAATCACCTCTGCACAGAAACCCACAGCAGGACTTATATCCACCATTACTTTTTACAGATAAGGGACGTCTGTTATCTTATCAATCATGACATTCTTTCAGCAAAACAAACACGTTCAGTGGACTGTAGGCATGAATGTGTTTGTCTCTCTCTAATACACACACTCACTATCTTCCTTTCTCCCTCTCGGGAACGTTGTGTCCAGCGGGAATTGCAATAACAACTCTCCAAACAAATAATTTTTTTGGGGAGTAGGCAGGGGGCTATGGGGATCTTCCATTTAAAGTGATGTTTAAAACTCAGTTAATGGGGCTCAGTTAATGGGGCTCATTCACTGGCGCTTCCACAAACAACAACCAACATAATTATTACATTCAAATGAAGTACATTATTCAAGTTTACATTAACTGTGGTCTGTGGATAATAACACTCGAGAAATGAGCGGAAGCGCTCTCTTTTCCTCTCTCTCCCTCTCCCCCTCTCTCTCTCTCTCCTGACAGCCTGTCAGTATCTCATGCAGCTCACTGATCCAGTAATGAGTGACCCAACAGTGAAAAATAAATATATTCATAACTAGTTTAGCTTGTTCCAGAGGTAGATAAAATAGCTAAGTGTGTTAGGTCTAACTCTTAGTGTGTGTTTCACTCCGCTCACCAATCCGTCACAGCGGGTGGAGCTGCAGGATTTCTGCTTCACACACGTTGCATACTGCTAATTTACTGTCTTTTTCGGACACCTTAAAAAACTACCAGACTGGTGAAGCCATTTTGGCGAGATTGTTTTGACGCGCACAGAGAAAAGTGTCATGTATTTTACGCTCTCGCGATCGGCATTTTTAGAGAGTACTGATCGATCGGCAGAGTGAGTATCAGCCGATCGATCGGAGCATCCCTACTTTCTAATTTAATGTATTGAAGGCAAAGATATTTAACACATAGTGAGAACTGCTACTATTTATCTCTCAATATTGTCTGTAAAAACGAGGTAAGAGTTATTATTTCAGTGAGACAACAGAGCAAGCTTCTACAGTTGCACTACGTTTTGATAGCAGTTAAATATTATATATTTCAATGTTGATGAACTTCATACTGTTCATTCATAATCTGATTGTCTTTGTAGCTCATTGTTGAAATAAAAAAATTACAATTACAAAATAATTATATCTACAGCCCCTAAACACACAAACACACCTCTTTCATAAATAAAACGCTTGTTCTGCAATAATATGTTTTATGTTTCCTGTAATTTTTGTTAGGAAAGGACATGCCTGAAAGACACAACATTTTCTCCTTCTCTGAGGGTCAAGAAGAACATCCAAGAGGAACATTAAAAGCTGATGTTATGAGATTTTAAGACCAGTACAGGACATTCACTAAGAAACTATTTTATTGTGAAAACTGTTAAGATCTCCATATCAGGTTGAAAAATTAAAACGACAGTTAGTTATAATCAAATATAATCTATTATATTCTTGTATAACCCACAATGAAAATGCTTCATATTTTAGGTTTTTCTATATTTACAG